TAACATTTTGAATATTCAAATCAAACATCTTGTTAAGCAACCTCATTAGCATATTCAAATCATATACCTGACCAACTAACCTTATTAGGATATTCAAATCAAATATCTGGTCAAGTAATCTAATTAGCATATTCAAATCCTATACTTGGCCAAGTAACTTTATTAGGATATTCAAATCAAACATCTTGTTAAATAACCTCATTAGCATATTCAAATCCATATGTGGCCAAGTAAATTTATTAGGATATTCAAACCAAACACCTGGTCAACCTCATTCTCATATTCAGATAAAAATACTTTTAAAGCAATATATTTTTAGCATATTCAAATTAAACACCCATACCTGGTCACCAAATTAGCAAATTAAGATCAAACATCCAAGCTATATCTCATTAGCATGGCACATCCAGGCATGTAACTTCAGGTCAAATAACCTCATTAGCATATTTTAATAGCACACCCAGGCATGTAACCTCAGGCCAAATAACCTCATTAGCATATTTTAATGGCACACCCAGGCATGTAACTTCAGGCCAAATAACCTCATTAGCATATTCTAATGGCACACCCAGGCATGTAACTTTAGACCAAATAACCTCATTAGCATATTTTAATGGCACACCCAGGCATGTAACTTTAGGCCAAATAACCTCATTAGCATATTCTAATGGCACACCCAGGCATGTAACTTTAGACCAAATAACCTCATTAGCATATTTTAATGGCACACCCAGGCATGTAACTTTAGGCCAAATAACCTCATTAGCATATTCTAATGGCACACCCAGTCATGTAACTTTAGACCAAATAACCTCATTAGCATATTTTAATGGCACACCCAGGTATGTAACTTTAGGCCAAATAACCTCATTAGCATATTCAGGTCTATCAAAATCATAGCATATTCAAATCAAACACCTTGGAAAGAAATCTCATTAAATTACAAACTTTTGATTTGTCTAATAATATAACTAGATTATTTAAATTTAAGGCCAGTTCAAACAAGATTATTAGCATATTCAAATTATAACAACTCATTGGTGTATTAAAATTTCCTTTGCAGCCACCTCAAGTAATCTTATTAACATATTCAAATTATAGCAACTCATTGGTGTATTAAAATTTCCTTTGCAGCCACCTCAAGTAATCTTATTTACATATGCAAATTAGTAGTTTGTTAGCCTTTCAGAAAAAAATTAGCTTTTTATGGTAATTGTATTTAAAAAAAAAAAAATTCATAGTTTGTTGATTGCAGTCCAATCACGTAAGGAATTATTGTAAAAGAACAGCTTGTGTGGAGTCTGTGTGTTCACATATTTAAATTTTGAATTTGAAAAGATATTTGATTGGTTCACGTGAAATTTCAAAACTTTATAGTAAGCTGTTGAATTTTCATCGCAAGGAATCGTGATTTTATTTTATTTCATTCAACAAATTTTTTTGAAAGTTGCTGACATTGCATCTTGTATGACCCCCCCCCCCCAAGTTCAGCGACCATAATTGTTATCACCAATGGAACATAATCTGTACCCCAATGGACATGACCAGTAAACGAAACAGCCAAAAGAAAACAATAGAAGATCCATAGATAACAAGTGATCAATGGACAGGACAGTAAATATAACAGCCGCAAATATAAATATAGCGCAACATTTTTTTTTAACATTTCCGCACATAGCATTGTGTCTTGGTGTGACATCTCACACGTCATTATAATTTCATATCAAATCATTTCTTTTTAATAAAATATGATAATAATTCTGAAAGCAAAAATATGCTCAAAATCATTGCAAATGCTTGCACGTATAAAAATATAATAGTATATACAAATATTATAAAGTACATTATTTTACATTGTCAAATCAAAGCAAGCCAATCACGGCAAAGAAAACTAACTGCAATAATTAATTAAATGTGACAAAAATAAACCAGTCTATGATCCAGTACAATCAGAGCTTCTCTACCATTACTATTCCATTTGTTTTTTCTCTAAGAACTTTTTTATGTTTACAAAAAAACAATTATCCACCTGATAAATAACTCATTGTGTGTACAAATTTTCTTCTGATTCTTTTTTTCAAATGAATATTATTACTATTGTTGACCATATATGGTAATTTCATCCTGATCATGTGATAATTATGAAAATTCATTGCCCATATTTGGTAATCACATGATCATGTGAACACTATAAAAATTCACTGCCTATATTTGGTAATCAATGTATTTTTTCTAACTACATGTATATATTCTGCTATGCTGCATGCAAAGTTTCAAGATATGATTTTTGCAGACCTCAGACTTTTGGTCCAAAATGTTACATTTTAAATTCACATTAATTGAAATTTCTTCACAGTTTGTGCAAATTGAGTTTATTTTTATTTATTTTTAAAAAAAAATGATAACACCACAAACCACGTTTTATATCAACAACTGTTACTACGCCAAGCGTTAATAGATTCACAGGAAGCATATCAAGATGTTGCAAGTTTACAAAGACAATACCGGGAACCGACACAAGAAACAAAGTACTTTTTTCTTTCACAAGAATGATTATGACACTATATCATATAACACAACACCAACACAGTATGATTATTTATTTTAATGGGACACCCTTATATGGTCTGAAACCAACATCTGTTGAAGAAAAACTAATGTGAATTGGATTTCTAATAAATCACCGAAAAAGTCACAAAAAAGTATCGTAGTTGGATTTAAAATGTTTTTATCAACAGCAATACTATTGTAATATAAATCAATATAAAATATTTTCTATAGTTTTATTTTCAGAAAGATTTGTTATGTCTGTCTCTAAACAACAGATCCTTTTTTTTTTTGCTGGAATTTGTTAAATATTTTTCCTTCCAATTTTTGTACTGGTTTTGTACTAAATTAATGAAAACGCGATAACAGCCTTTTACAGAGTTCAAGAGATCATTCCTAAAACTGTATTGGCTTTTGAGACCATTATGTGGAATGTTTGGTGGATTCACTTTGCATGAATTGTGGGAAATATTTTATGATCAGAGAAACACACTAAATCAGAACAAGGGCGAATCCACACAAATTATTATTATTACCCACAATCCCCTTATATTCAGACAATCAAGTCATTTCAGATAATTGTCTTAAGATTACTCAAGACAAGCAAGAGATTTGATCCAATTCCGTGACAGAATGTTGGTTTCAGACTTTCTAGAATGTTTTCAGGGTTTAGCAAAAGTTTAAACGACACTGACATCATTAACATAAACCATTCAGACGACATCGACGCTGTACAGTACAGACTAACGATAAGCACCTGACATAATTTGATAGACCAATTGACAAGTTAAGGATGCCCTTTTATTAATACATGTTATATGATTGCAAGAGGATCAATTCATGTACTGTCCAATACTTTAGTTTAGCCAGAATTAATTTTTGCTGATTTGTGATGAGTTGGAAGAAAAATATAAGAAAAAAGGGATATTTGCAGACTTGCTTGCAGTCTGTTGCGATTCCGAAAAAAATCTTGAAAATAAATATAAATTGCATAAACGAGGAGTGAAAGTCATGTGACTGCGAAATCCCAACAGACTTGCCATCAGTGTGAGCGCCCTTACATTACCGACCAGATCTGTTCCGTTTACGCAATTTATATTTATTTTTCAAAATTTTTTCATCAGAATCGCAACAGACTGCAAGCAAGTCTAGGATAATTGCTGAAAAATAAATTCCAAGTGAAAATATTAGAGCACCCTCAACCTTTCAATTAGGTTTATAGCTCATATATAAAGAAACATGAATCTCCATGGCCTATGTTAATTTCACATCAATTTTACAAATAAATTACATTAAATTAATTCCCCATAATAAGTCCTCCCATCACCACAGAATGCATTCTTAATACCACATTAGTGGGTGATGTCTAAATCACAGACATTTTAAATACATAAAACAGAATCCAGACCTATTTCGAAAATTTAGTTTTTTTTATTGTCATTTACATGGGGTGATAGTATCCATCCATACATGCATTAATTTGGCCAGAAAAACAATTTCTAAACTCCCTGTAGAAACTTGGAGAGTTGGATACTATAGCCAAATATAGACCTTTAAGATTTTGATTCAGAACATTTTTTCAAAAATTAGTCTGGACTTTGTTGATTAGCATGACCCTGAAAGTAGACCATCTAATATGTTTTGTTAGATGACTATTTGAAAGGTCACACATCCTGGTCACAGTGTCACATGATACCAGGATGTGCAACCTTTATAATAGGTCATGCAAATAATACTGTATGGAAATTAGTATAATCAATTTCACATAAAAAACATTCCATAGCAAATAATTAATAATAATAAATTTATCAATATTGGAAAAATAAATGTTTGTAAATCAAAAGCAGAAAAAAATGTTGCATATGATTTTTGGCAAAGGTGAAAAAAGATAAAAAATTAGTTGTGTCTCCCTTTTCACTGTCTTCCCAATCTTACTAGATACCAAGTTGGTGTAAAGTTTGTTTTATTTTTCTGTAGATGTAAACACAATCACTCATACATCTGGGATAAAGCTGGATTTATCATTATCAATATTGACCTTCAAGGATGCCCATTACAGTTTGACAGAAACATTGCAAATTTTAGTACACAGAGGGATTATTTTTTGTTTTTAGCAATAATAAAAAACAGGGATATAATTTTTGAGAAAACTGTTGTTTATATTACGCAGTTTATACACAGAAAAAAAATAAAACATGACCCTTTGATATAAACATGTCACATTTCTGAAAATCAGGATAATGGTGGGACACATAGAGAATGATATTTTCTACAAATAAAAATATTGGGTCACCAACCTTTGTAAAGTGGTATTAAAGTTTAATTGATTGCATCACACTAATACATGTGCCATAGAAGATTTTTTCATGTGAAAACGCTTTCATGTACAATTTGAAGAGTTGGTGACGTCGCAATTGTAGTATCCATATACTCAAATAACCATCCCCCAAAATAAAAAAATGTTGAGATATAAAATTTCTCAAAATTGCAATTATGGTCACTTTGAATAGCAGGGATTAATTATGTGCACTATCATGTGTTGTAAAAATGAAACTGTATGGAACCATCCTGAAGTACAATCCGTACAATGAATAACTCAAACTTATGTGAAGACCCAGACTAAGATACCAGATGTTTTCAGGATTGAAACAATACACCAACTTTTACTGTAAGCCAGATACCATCTATTATCAGGCTTGGCATGATACCAGCTGTTACCTGGAACGTCCGGCTCCAAAAGTTGCCAAGCGTCCACCACGTCTAACAACATGTGCGGGAATGGGGGGAACCCTTACAGGTCTACGCTCATGTAGATTTCGTTCCCGCCGTTCCACTTGTGGCTGAGGTTGAGGTTGTTGTTGTTGTTCACTCCGACATTCTTCAGGTTGCGTCAATCGTGTACAAAATACTGGCAGACAGTGACAAGGGAGACATGAAAGTCAGTGGCTACTGGTACCAATACCAGGTGTGCCACTGAGAATCACGTTACTCCCACCACCATCACCGCTCCCTCCTCCTATGCTGCCTCTACCTCCAGATGTAACCGTAGCTGGTACTGGTGCAGTAGCCGGAGGTATCTGAGCTGATGAAGATGTGTGTCTTACTCCGGCTCTTTCCTTCTCCGGTTTGTTTCCAAGAATCTTGTCAATTTCCTGCATTATTTGAGGTGTTAATTTTGGCACAAACTGAAAATAAATGAAAAAGATCGCTTTTTGAGAGCATTAGACAAATTTACTGTAACCATGGTAACAGATTCTGCTAATTTACCAAAGGTAGACACTGTATATCTTCAGAGAAATAAACTGAAAATTGTAAAAATTTGTAGAGAATTACCCATGACAAAAAATCTTAACAACAAATTGAGCAGTTCACAGTTTTCAACTTTCATAACTTTCACACAAAATGGAGCTTGCATATTTTGCAAGGTATGGAATACCATAATCACAGAATGTCTAGATCTGACCAATCACAGAATGTCTTGTTGGTAACACTCATTCATTAACAGATGTAAATTTGAGAATACATTGGATAAGGTTCGCAGGTGCTTGTGTTCGACCGGGGCTGGTTGATGCCAGGATAGCACATTAAAATTGCCATTTGATAGAGAGATGGCCGCACAGTCCTGTCATGTAGTCCCAAACATGAATATGACTTCTGTGGCAAAAATGCACTATATGTCAGCTCATGCAAATTTGCACACAAAAATTCAGGAAAGACACAAAATCAATTAAAACAAGACATGAAATGTCACAGTCCCCGTTATTTGATTATAAAGTAGTACAAGGAATATCTGCAAACAGGTGAATAAATATGTACTCTATGTGGGTACAAACTCATCATAAAGTGATTTCCCATAATCTACAAAATGTAGTTTTGTACTTTGACCCATGTTCAGAGTACACAAGTACAACAAAACTATTTGTCATACATGTATACTTGCTTAAGAAACTGCATTCATTAACCTGAGTGAACCTTGATGTACATGACTTCTTTGTTAATTCAGGTCTTAGTATATTAGTCTTAGTATATGGGTTTGTTTCAAAATCACCACTGGGCATCAGAATCATTTTCATGTTGTCAATACAGGTTTAATGTGTAATATTAAACCATGTTTATGACGCAAATCTAATGCTCTCTCGCAAGATATTTACATAGATCTCACATTTTCTCGCACATGGCACAGTCTCTGTGAGTTATCAAATTTAACATATATAGTTTTGTTTATAGTAATATATATCAGGAATAGGATTATGGTGATTGTTTAACATTAAAATGATTGACATTTGTATCTGATGGTCAAACAAGTACTTGTCCATATTGGGAGATATTGCTTTGGAACAGCATTAATTAAAACAAAATCAGTCATTTTGAATACATGTATATATCTATAACATGCTGTATAACAAATATATAAAATTTGAACATAATCAGTCAAAGCATTTAAGAGATATGGGTCTAGAAGCCCATTCATTAAAACAAAATGGCCGCAAGTCAGCCATTTTGAATCCGATCTGAAAAATAATGACGTGCATCAGGAACCCGTAATGTATAATGTATGTACCAAGTTTGAACGAAATCCATCCATAAATGCCAGAAATGCTTGATATTTGATGATTTTTTAGCACAAAAATGGCCGTCATTCAGCCTTCTTGAATCAGATCGTGAAACAAATTGACGTGCATATGTATAATATCATGTATGATGTATTTGTGAAGTTTGATTATGATTCGTCCAGGCATTTCTAAGATACACAAGGGACAAAACATAAGTCCTTGTTTTCGGGGACTAAAACATGTGGAAACAGAAATGGGACATTGGAGAAAAACATGAGAACAAAACAAACTAAAGCAAAACAATAGTAAGTTCATTTACAGACTTATAACTTTAATATTTTTCATTGTCAGCAAGATTGTATTGCAAGTCACCTGGACATTATATTCTCATGTCTTTACCCATTGAGTGTCAGCAAATTCAATTATTAGCTTTCAGAAAATAAATACTTTGATGGAAAAGAGTTTTGACTCACCCGAATGGCTTGTAGATTTTCATATAGTTGATCTGTATTAGATGCACCAAGTATAACAGAAGATACTGCTTCATTCTTTAAACACCAGGCTGTATCAAATGAATCAGTAACAAGTCATTGTTAATGACATAGTCCCCGTTGGAAATGTTATTCATGCCATAAACAAAGTAATATGGACCAAATGCATAGTTAGTAATTGAGAGTGAATAATTGGTTGGTCTAGTATCAATAAAAATTAGATGTATTAAATTACTCTTCCAAAATCGAAATATATGCTCAGAAATGAAATGAAACAGGATATGCTATTCATGCATTTCACTTGTCTAGGCTTATATGAAGAGATGTAGTAGTATGGTCAAAAAGCAAGATTGCAGGCAGTCAACCATCTTTGATCCGATTGTGAAACTAATTGTCATTGTCATTTTATCCTAACATGAATAAATTTGAAGAGAAAAAAAAACATACCAATTATACATTTTGAAAAAACAAGATGGCTGCCAGTTGGATTCAAAAAAAAAAAAATCATTATGGACATGCATCTCAAACAAAACAGCTGCCAGTCAGACATATTGGATTGAATCAATAAACCACTGCATGTGCACATGTCCCAGATACTAGGTACATGCAAAGAATGAACAGATTTTTTCCACAAGGTTCAGAAATAAGATCCTGGACAGACTCACAGAGAACGAATTATAAGTCCCCATTTTGAACTTTGTTTGAACAAATGACACCAGTGAGTACAGGTTATAATTTTCACTTCCCCAACAGGAAGCTTAAGTATTCCAGGTCATGTGACCGTGATGCATTATGGGAGCCATTATAAGCAAAGACCACCTTTTTGGAGTTCTAAATGTACACATTTCTCCAACTGTACTGAAACTGAGAAGATGAAAAACAAAAGTACTGACCAGTCATACCACATGGGGGTGATATTCACTCACCTATAGCAAGTTGTGGCAGAGTGCATCCAATTCTATCAGCTATAATTGTCACTTCTCGTAATTTAGCTTGTTGTCTACGACCTTCTTCACTGAGGACTTTGTCTTTCAACCAACCATAACCCTGTATAATGCAATATCGAATTCAATATCAGTATCAGTTCAAGTTTCATTTTTTTAAATGTGGTAAGTACAAATGCTGATGGTACATATAGTGTGTTTTGTCATAGAAACCATATTCCATATTTAGAAGACAGGACTATGTGATCATCATTACTATACTGACATCACTAAGGCACCAGAACTGTTTTGATTTGATTGTTTGAAAGCACTTGACAATTGCTATCATTTTTATTGAAAAAATAAATTCTAAAGTTAATTTGTCCACCCTAGATGGATTAGGATGAGAACTTTCATGTAAGTACCAGGATGAGTGAATTTTAGAGGTCTCCTAAGTACCAGGATGAGTGAACTTTGAGGTCATCTAAGTACCAGGATGAGTGAACTTTAAAGGTCATCTAAGTACCAGGATGAGTGAACTTTGAGGTCATCTAAGTACCAGGATGAGTGAATTTTAGAGGTCATCTAAGTACCAGGATGAGTGAACTTTAAAGGTCATCTAAATACCAGGATGAGTGAACTTTGAGGTCATCTAAGTACCAGGATGAGTGAATTTTAGAGGTCATCTAAGTACCAGGATGAGTGTACTTTGAGGTCATCTAAGTACCAGGATGAGTGAACTTTAAAGGTCATCTAAGTACCAGGATGAGTGAACTTTGAGGTCATCTAAGTACCAGGATGAGTGAACTTTAAAGGTCATCTAAGTACCAGGATGAGTGAACTTTGAGGTCATCTAAGTACCAGGATGAGTGAACTTTAAAGGTCATCTAAGTACCAGGATGAGTGAACTTTGAGGTCATCTAAGTATCAGGATGAGTGAACTTTAAAGGTCATCTAAGTACCAGGATGAGTGAACTTTGAGGTCATCTAAGTACCAGGATGAGTGAATTTTAGAGGTCATCTAAGTACCAGGATGAGTGAACTTTGAGGTCATCTAAGTATCAGGATGAGGTGGAGGTATTCAAATAAAGCTGAAAATGTAGGAGGGATATAAATATCAGGATGCTTACCTTGAGAGCTGCTCTGGAGTAAAATGGAACATTATCATCATATTTACCAGTCAGAATACCACAAGCTAAAGGAGACCAAGTAATTGTACCTAACCCTGAAAAAATAAAACATGATTGTTGGTATATTAAATGTTAATAATACAGATTTGCAGAAATCATGAGGTAAGAATTTTGAGATTAATATTGTAAATTTTCACTTGTCACAAATGAATTAGCAAAATTTTAATTCATTCAATAATTTTCACAAAAATCGGGAAAATTATGTCAATGAGGACATTATGTCTATTTGATTGACAATTAATAGGACATTATAGGAAAAAATGTTGAATGAAAAATCTTGGTGACAAAAAATGATTACAATCAAATGGTTTAAATGCCATCTTTATTTAAAAGCATGGAA